TATTCTGCTAAAGCCAGCTACCCAATCTTGTTGAGACAGACTGCATATTCATACAATTAATTTCCATTCTCAATTTCTTGCCCAAAGAGTACGTTCAAGTAGTTGTGAGTTAACAGGTCATTTTAGTAGAGCCACTACTTTTTTTTCTTTTCAAATCGATCAGGATCGCGGGATGGCTGATACTATGCTGAATTGCCTCCTTAATTAATTCAGTAAGCCTGTCGATTTTGTATGTGGAAATGCTGGAAGTCCAGCTGATGCTAGACCAAGAAAAATTCAAAAAGATGTGACTCTTCGTCGGGGCAAAAATTCATGATCGGATGACTTACAACTAGTATACTCTTTGGCAATTAATATGATAAGGACCAAAAATAGAATTAAAGTGGGAAAGAAAAATGTTAGATTTTTGGTATCGTATATGAGCTGCAAATGAATCGAATCGAGTCGAGTTTTGACTTAATCAAAACGAGTCTCGATCTCGATTTAATTTTACCAAACTCGAATTCGAGTTCGAACTTGATGAGCTCTCAATGTAAAAATAAATAAATAATTTTATTTTTTAAAATAAATAAAATAATAATTTTTCTTAACATATAATAAAATATTAGAGATATATATAACGAATTGAGTATTTTTGAACTCGAATTCGATTTGGTTAGTTCAAACTCGACTCAAGATCGAAGTTAACCAAACTCGATTCGCTTGCAGCACTATTCATATATGTAGTAGCCAAGTCATGTTTTGGGGTCATTTGAGTGAAATATGAAGCCTCTGGGGTAGAAATTTTAAAAGCTAAGATAGTGGAATTTTTTTTTAAAAAATTGCATTAGGTAAGTTCCTCCCATTTAAAAAAAATAATAATTAGTATTTTAAGTCGTTACAAAAATAATCATCTGCTTCGTTTTGATATAGGCATATCAATACAATCAGTGATATTTGGTGATCTTTTATTTAGCATCATATTTTGAAGTAAAAATCTCGCCAAAGTGATTTCAAACAAATAAATGTGAAATACAAATTGTCCAAGAATTTATTAATTGTTTTACATACGTCATGTCCTTTTTGTTCAGATCTTAAGGTAAATACTCATAATTTTAAAAAATATTAAAACAATTAAGATTACTTAAAATTCATTGCGAAAAAAAATTAACAATAGAAGCTGCGAGCTCCATCTTGAAAATATACATTATAAAAAATTAAACTTGGAGAATGTTTTAATTCATTGTGAAACTATTTATTTTCAGGAACAACATATGGTTGCTGTAAAAAAATATTTCATTTATGGGGATTTCCTTTTGTACTAATATTAATTTTCTTCCTGATTTACATTTATGGGAATTTTCTTTCACCAAACGTGGCATCATATAATTCATTAGCATATGCGACTCCGTTGATTTGCAACTAGTAGACTCTTGGCAAGAATCAGACTTTGGCAATTAATATGACAAAGAACCAAAATCAAAGAAGAAGGAGATCAAGTGATGGCTTTCCATTTGCCCGTTGCTTTAATTGAGATTAAAAAAAAAATGAAAAGGAAGGAACTGCAGAAATTGGGAAAGAAAAAATATTAAATCTATAAACAGCAATCGAATTAAAGTCAGTAATTTATCTACAAGATATTGGTAAACAACTATGAATGCATTCCCAAACCCATCCTTCGCAAACCCATACCTATAACATAGACACCTTTCCTACATTTATGTGTTCGAAAACATCTATTTTCTACGATATTGTAACTAATGACTGATAAATTAATGAAAAACACTAGAATTTGTTATTTATTATCAAAGATCAGATCACATATAGCATAAAAAAGGGTATATCATTTCATATTTTTTCATTTAATAAATGATCCAAGTTACTCTTTTCAATTCAATTAAAGACCCATAGTCAAGACTCAAATATGATCAACCACAGATAATCAAAAAAATTTGCAACCAAAACATTGCAAAGAGCACATTTTAACATCACAAAAATCTCAGTAACTAACCTTAATATGTTTCCAAGAAACACAACTTTGAGGACCTTAAGGTAGGAATTATCTTCGCCTCTTTAGTGCCCTTTTTTTTTGTGGTATATTAGTGATAATAGGCTTCATAATTATGATTAATTTAGTATAATTGTGTAATATCTTGAAAGTTGTGAGGATTGTAAGGTCATTTTGCCGTTAATGATGCTAGCTTTTTGCCCCAAGATTCTGACGAGGGAGATCAGTGTAATTTCTAAAACCTAGAGCGAGGCTAGTGAAATAGTCAGAAACCTCAGGGTGATTTCTGAAATTATCCCAAACTAAAATGCAACTTCCTACTCAGCCGATTGGCGTTTGATTGGTCAATCTCTTTGGTCGATTTTGACAATGCCATTAGAAAAAATGAAATTAATAAATGACGCTTTGAATATTCAAAGAACTTTTTGCATTGATTCAGTCAATCATATGCATTCTGCATTAGAAAATATTGTGTATTCTTGAAGACATGCATCATGATTTTCTAATTCAAATCCAAAATTTATCTGCTGGAGAAGTTCTGCTCCACCCAAACTGAAAATTTCTAGCAATCTCTTGAGTCAGCAAGACCAGCAGAATTTTACGGTGCATGCATGCTGAGCTCACCGAAATAGACTCGTGCTGTTGAACATGTTGATTGAGGAACAAACAGATGATCAATTTCCTTCAATTCACATATTACAATCAAGATTCTTGCATGCAGTGGATCATATACACCAAAGATTTCCCAAAAAAAAAAAAGAAAAATCTAGCAAGGAAATTATGATAAATATGAGAACAAGGAAAGAAATTATCAAGAAAGCTCGTATCAAATTTTTTTCACTTATAGCAACTATACCAGTTACGCTTAAAATTAGAAATTGCCTTTTTCACGTAAATAATGAAACAGCTAGACTCGTATATGTAGCAGTCAAGTCACAATTCGGGGTCATCTAAAGCAAATAAGAAATCTTTGGTGTGGAAATTTGAAAATTTTAGAAATTGGAAATTTTTATTGCATTAGGTATTTACTTAAAAAGAAAAAACTCTCTTGCTACAGAGCAAGTATTTTAACTATTTACAAAAAAAAAAAAAAAAAAAAATCTGCATCGTTTTGATACAACCATATCAATATAATCATTGATGTTTAGCAATATTTTATTTACCATAATCTATTTTGGGAATAATTTCAGTATGAAAGTTTTCATGCGAGGTGTTAGCATTAGATTATACTAATGGTGTTACCTTTGGGAGGCAAAGTGTACATATTTAAAAGGGACAATTTCAGAAATCTTCCTCAAGGTTTCTGACAATTACACTTAAATACCTTCCATTATTGAAAATTATAATGCCCTCCCTTTTCATACAGATGTCATGTAACCAAGTATCGCCATCGGTAGCTTCCTAAAAGCCTTGTGCGTTTTCTTCTATTGAAACAATGGGAAAACGAAATTGCATCAAATATAATTTTTTTTTCTACTTCTTGGTGCAAATTGGCTTGTGGTATAACAACTTGAGGAGCCAAGATTTTATACAGGACCATTATTGTCAAGAAAAACCAAACTAGCTTTCATAAGAGGGAACTTAAGACACTAGAGCATCCTCAAATTGGTAATTCTTTACTTAGTGTGAAAAATCAAACTAATTGTTGTCTTTTGCTGCTCACTTTTTCTTCTTCATTGCTATTATACCAATTGATATAGTCACATTTGGCACAATAGAAATATAATCTATCTAAATATTTTTTTCACTTTCTAAAATTCTAATTGTTGCACTGCATCCGTGACCACAAATTCTGTTTTTGATCCTCAGTGATGTTCCTCCATGAATTAGTTGTCAATGGCAATGCAATTAAGTTAACCTCCAAGACATAGTTTAGCTGATAAGGGACATTAAAGAGTAACCAGCTAACAAGTTTGGACATTTTTACTCTCATCTTAGGACAGTTTATTTTCACTTTTTGTCACCTCCAAATCGTTTTTTTCTGCGGTTAAAACACGCAACGGATCTTCTGTCTCATACTCTGTGTCATTCTCTGTCCCATTTTTTATTATATTGCTATTTCTCCTTTATAAACGTCATGTTTTAGTTCTTTTTTATTTCTTTAAGATCCAATAACTATTAATTCAGTAATACACAAAATTTAACAAACTCTAAAAATCAAAATGCATAAAAAATGAGATTTTTTAATGAATTTTCTGCTGTATTTTTTAATTTTTTATTATATATTGCTTTTTTGAAAGCTGTTGTATTTATTTATTACTAAATTAATAGTTATTGGATCTTAATGAAACAAAAAAGAACTAAAACATGATGTTTATGAAGGAGAAATAGCAATATAATAAAAAGTGGAACAGAGAATGGCACAGGGTGTGAGACAGAAGATCCATTGTGGTTAAAACACCTCCTCTAATAGAAAGATGGGCAAATATGCCTTGTACATCGGATACTTTTTCCATTTTGTGGTTTTCTTCTATCATTCCTTTCACTTTTAGGCTTTTCCATGCTACCCCCTCTACATATTTGTTCTGTTAATTAGACTACCACTATTGTCAATGCACCCATGAACTAATACTACAACCTCATTATATAGTTAAGAAAAAAAAAGAAAGGAATATATATAATAAGATAAAACCATACGCAACTACATAAAATCTATCCTAACCGTAGATGACATGGTATATAATATGACTAGAGCTTAGACTCACTGGAACTAGTAATTTTTGAAGCACAATGACCTACTTTTAATTTGAATATGGTAGTAGATGAAGTTTGATCTTCTTCAAATCTGCAAGAACATCATGCATGTTGCTTCTCTCCCTTGGAGATTCCCTTGTGCAATTCAAAGCCACTTTCATGATTGATGGAATGCAGTCCAACTTTTCATCGAAGTATTCATGATTGGGTCTCAGCAGATTAGCATCAACAACTCGAACCAGTCCATCTGGCATAGAATCACTCACCCAACTCTTCAGGCTCAAATTTTCGCCAAACATTTTGTCATTGGGACTTTTTCTTGTAAAGACTTCCATAATCATGATTCCAAAACTGTAAACATCGCATTTTGTTGATACTTGTCCTTCCAGTCCATACTCTACAAGCAAAAAAAAAAAAAACAGTAAGAATAACTACAAGGCAAAAAACCAGAGTAGCTATACTAGAAGAAGCTATACCTGGAGCAAGATAGCCAAGTGTGGCTAATGTGTTGGTGTACGTAATGCTGTCCTCATGCCCCAGCAACTTTGCAACACCAAAATCACTCACATGGGCAACCATATCTTGATCTAGGAGCACATTACTGGGCTTCACATCACAATGAACCAGTGGTGTCGAAAAACCGTAGTGCAGATATTGCAATGCACATGCCACACCAATCAACACGTCTATCTAATCTCTGCTTGACTTTGAGAAAATAGTTATAGGAATACAACCATTTCTCAAGACTTCGTGTTAGGTCTAGCCCCAGGAAATTGACAAAGGATTTTTGACAATCCCAAAAGATAAATAACAAAGCAAAAATAAATGAAACAGGAACATATGAATTTACGTGGTTCGGTCAAATTGACTCACGCCCACGGACGGAGGAAGAACAATATTTTACTATAAAGAAAAGAATACAAAAATACCTTAGGAAAGTGTTCCTAGATTCAAAACACCTAATACTTAAAACACAAGAGAGTCTAAAAGATTTTACTAATTATTTTATGTGTTCAAAAACTAGTCAGGGATCTTTTGGTCATGCAAAATATAACTCGTCTTAACCCTATCAGAAAGTTGACCATAAGGGATAACGTGATATATTTGGAGTTTAGGGGGGTAAAGTGTCACTAGGGGCCAAATTCAGTGGGATAAAGTGTAATTAACATTTTTAAGTCAAAATATATACCTTTCTAATTCAAATCAACATTTGCTAGAATGCTTTAATTTGGAGATAGCAATAGGGGTGGGTGCCCGTTTATGGAAATAAACAAGTGGGAGAAAATGCAGGATGGGAGAGTTTTTCTCCCCCATCTCCCCTACCTATAATTCAAAATTATGGACATGAAATATGAAAAATATGTAATATAATTATATACATATGTGATATGAAAGAAATAATTTGATATTCTCTTTGTGATAAAATAATATAATCTTTGTTATTAATTTTTTGTGGTTAAATAATAATTTTGTTATATGTTCGTTTACATTTTTTTAGAAGTACGGCATGTTGTTTATATTTTTTTAAAAAAAAACAATGATAATGGATTAAGATTTCAGGTAAAATCAAATATAGAGAAACAAATTCGCAGGATCAAAATAATTTTTAAACTTTATTTCAAATTAATTTTTTGGCTAATAAATTCATTATTAGTTTTGTAAATATATAAAAACTAAAGTCAAATAAAAAATAAAAAAGATAGCCAGACGTAACGAAGGCTCCTACAGGGAGTGGGGTGGTGGGGTATGGGAAAGAGTAGCTTTCGGAAGACGAGACGAGTCATAAACCCACTCGTTGCCATTCTTACTTTAATTACCTTGCCCTTGGCAAAGCTTGAGAAAAAAAATCTTCAAGCTTGAATTTGGGGTCTTTCTAATCTTTGTTTTCTATTTTATTTTTTATTTGGGTAAATTACATTTTATCTCCCTGTAGTTTAGTATTTTTTTATATAATCCCTGTATGGTTGAAAAGCTATACATAACCTCTTCATGATTTGAATTAAAGTGTAAGAGTGACGGAAATGATCATTCGTAACGGAACTTTTTAAAATGTCAAAATTATCCTTATATATACATAACACATTAATCCTGTATGGTTTAATGTTTTATCATATAGCCCTCTTATGGTTTAATGTTTTATCATATAACTCCCTTATGATTTTTAAAATATACAAATAATCCCCTTTGGTTAATAAATAATTTTCAGCTTTACATAAGGGTATTTTTAACATTTTAGGTGATTCCGTTACGTATGATCATTTCAATCATTTTGATACTTTAATCCAAACCATGAAAGGGTTATGTATAGTATTTAAATTATAAGGGAGTTATGTAATAAAATGCTAATTCATAGGGGGTAAAGTGTAATTTGTCCTTTTTATGTTTTAAACTTAAACGGTTTGAGTAATAAATATTCGAGAGCCGTTCGCTGGAAAAATTTTAAAAATTCATGTCCCAAATATACTAGACGTGTACAAATTGAAGACCATGTCCCCTCACATTTTGGCAAGACTTATGACTGAGTTTTATTTATTTATTTTTTTTATAATATGACTGAGTTTTATTTTATCGCTATCTTTTTCTGTGTGCCTACGAAAATGAACAAAAGTCAAAACAAACCAAACTCAGCACTTCAGTTTTGCGTGGCTCACTCATAATCAATTTAGAGAAAATTCAAGAACAAAACGTCCTACTCAGAATACTGTGAAGCCATCCCATCTCGACATTTCCCACTTACAGATTTGAGTATGGCTCTGCATTTCATCAGTAGCAGTGCATGCTTGTTCTGTGGTCTGAGTCAGAGGAAAGCACTGAGAGTGAGAACCGTAGCTTCTGAGGATGCAACTGCTGTTAAAACTGTTGGTGAGGAAGATAAGGTGAAGTTGGGTGGTTCAGATTTGAAGGTTACTAGGCTTGGGATTGGGGCTTGGTCCTGGGGTGACACCAGCTACTGGAACAACTTTGAATGGGATGGTATGTTTTCATTTCCTGAATCAGATGGTTTTTTGAACAACCTACATGGAAATTTGTTCAATTACTACATGCTCAAGAGTATTTTGTTATTGGTACGATATCAGTTTATCCAGCAGTAGGATGAATTTGTTGGGTTCTCAGTGGTTGGGCAGGTGTATTGTGAGAAAGAAGGCTAATGAACAGAAATATGATGATGTTGTACTATGATTTTTTTATCTTTTTTCCCCTTTACAATGATTGGAAATTGACAAAGTAAGGTTAATTTTCATCCAGCTCCTAATGCGTATATTGACTAGGGCAACTTTGTTTCAATGGAATTGACTAGGCACACGAACACATTCCAGTTAGTATTTCAATGTTAGTCCTAATTCTTATTCATTTCTGGTGTTTTTTCTTTTCTTGAGATGGTACCATATTTCTTAATTATGTGCTGATTCCATTCAACTTTATGTACCAGCATAATCTAGACGGTGATTTTGCATCTAGTGAGCTGAAAAGTGAAAACCTTGGACTTATTCTTTTTGCATCAACTCTGCTATATGGTGTGGTTTGGTAGAGGCCTTTGTAGCATTTTCTCTCTGTTCAAGTGCAAAACCAGAGTTTTACACCTCAACTAAAAAGTTAAGCTAAATGGCACAAGAGAAGCTTAAGGAATTTAGGGTCCAAGACTCGTCCATATCAAGTCTAATTTGTAATATACTTGAACATTTTCTGATACATGAAACTGGTTTTGCCAAACAATTTGAGATGATATTGTCAGCAAGCGAGGATACACTGGGACTCTTAGCCAGTAGCTATTAGACAGTCATTTTTGCTAACGATGCAGATGATCGGGACTGAGCATTTTCTTATCTGACCTTGTAATTGGACTTAATAACTTGGTAATATTTTGCTCTCTGGTGACAGACAGGAAGATGAAGGCTGCTAAGGGAGCTTTTGATGCGAGTATAGATTGTGGTATTACATTCTTTGACACTGCTGAAGTTTATGGCTCAAGGGTGGGAATTGGGTCTGACTTCTTCTGTCACTGATGTTCTATCAAATTTCAAAGAAGACTTTTGTATCTAAAATCCATCACTTTTCATACCTGCAGGTGACTTTTGGTGCAGTAAATTCTGAAACACTGCTAGGAAGGTTAGTAAAGAGTTCTTTTTGGTGCTAGTCAGTCCCTCAAGGAAATACACTTTCAGCAATCTTCTTTTCTGTTTTTCCAACCTATGTTTACCATTATGATTAAGGTTTATCAAGGAAAGGAAAGAAAGGAATCCACAGGTGGAAGTTGCAGTTGCGACCAAATTTGCAGCACTACCATGGAGGTTTGGTCGTCAAAGTGTCCTTACTGCTCTTAAAGATTCCCTCTGCCGTCTCGGACTGTCATCAGTTGACCTTTATCAGCTACATTGGTCTGATTTTCCTAGCTCCATTTCTGTAGTCTCTCTATCATTCTGCTTAAGAACCACAATTACAAAACTAAATGACATTCTACGACACCATAGGGTCAGGAAGAATTATAGGCGACTTAGTTTATCAAATATCCCAATTTTGTGTCTCAGAACATGTGATAAAGTTGATTTTTATTTTTTAGTTTATTTCACATTATTTCTATCAACCACTTGCTGATAGATATACTTTGAATAACATTTCAGGCCTGGCATATGGGGAAATGAAGGTGAAGGTTCATTTTCGTTAAGCAATTCTTTCAGTTACCAACAAGCATGACCTATGAAAGGTGAGTGATGGTAAAATTCAGAATAATATTCACTGACACGAGATCGATAATCAGGATACATTGACGGCCTTGGAGATGCTGTGGAGCAAGGCCTTGTGAAGGCTGTTGGAGTATCTAATTATACTGGTGTGTGATTTCTTTCTGTCTACTCATAATCAAGCTCATGAATCTCTGTATTTACTCTACTCATTACCTCCTTTGTACTCTTTAAGAGTTCCCTTATATGTGCATCCTGTATAAATTGGGGAATGGGGAACAGGATTCTGATCTGTTAAGAATAGAATTGGATGCTAAATCTTATGCTTGATGACATGATTATCATTTCAGAGAAACGACTTCGTGATGCATATGAGCAACTTAAAAAGAGAGGCATCCCACTGGCCTCCAACCAGGTCAATTACAGTCTCATATATAGGGCTCCAGAGGAAAATGGTGTAAAGGCAGCCTGTGATGAACTTGGTGTCACTCTCATTGCATATTCACCTATTGCTCAAGGTTAAGTCTTACTTCTTTTATTTTGTGGTGTCTGGTGTGCAAGTTTGACTAGTGAACTTAAATGTTCTTGGCATGGTAACTTTTTGCTCAACTATGTAGTCGAATAACAGGTGTCATAAAAATTTCACACAGTAAAACTAAAACGCATTGGTGGATTTGCTCATCAAGTCAGTGGCATAGTAGGAATAAATTTTAGTGTGGGAAAAATCAATATTAGTACAATTTTTTTCTTGTCTTTGCTTAAAAGCAGGACATAACAACAGTATTCACATTAAAAAGTAGGGATAAATTGAGAAACCTCCTCTGAGGTTTTTGATAATATCATTAGTGCACTTGAACTTCTAAAAATATCACTTTCCTCCCCTATCACCTAAAGTCAATTTCACAAGCCACCGAGTGACAATATCCCAAGAAAAATTTACCTCCATCAAAAGTGATATCCTAATCCCACGTAATTGAATTATAATATTACATTTTTAGAAAAAAAAGACGCATATAATCCACATAAGAAAAATAAATTTACCTCCACATTGTGAGTTTTTGATTTTTTTTTTTTTTCCAATTGTCCCCTCCTCCCAATCATCAGCAATACCAACAGGCCTCTCCCTCCCCTTTTCATTATTCTAAAGTTGAAAATATTCAACAAAAGTGTATGACAACTACCATATGCAAGTAACTAGGTGACATATTTGATCTATTTAATCTTATCTTATATTTAGGTAGAGATTCATGCCTTCCTCCTCAAGCCTGATATCATATTATGCAATTATCCACTTGACGTTAAAATATGCTAGAACATAGACACTAATAACTGAAATTTGTCTGAAATGTAGGTTGTCGACTGATAGTAATATAGATTTTCTCCAACTGTCCTCACCTTCCAATCATGTGCAATACCAAATAACCTCCTCCTTTTCCTTTTTCATTATTCATTATCCTAAAGTTTAAAATATTCAAGGTGTATGACAACTATGATACAATCAGTTATAAGTGCAAGTAACAAGAAAACCTATTTAAAATTAATATTTAGGTCAAAATCCGTGCTTTATTTTATTTTATTTTATTTATGGTCACACATCTAAATTAAGTAGTTTACTTCAATTAAAACTAGTTTTCTTGGTAATGATCAAGTAATGATCATATTTAAACTATACTTTGACATGATTTTCTCCCAATGACTGGAAGAAGATAGGCATCTGAGAAAACAGATTGTCTTATTCTTGTAACTCTCATGGAATTAGTGGCAATAAATACACTACTCCACTGAGAATTCTTAAACAGAAATGCATTAGTTAACACTTAACAGTCAAGTTCTTACTATCCCAGATTCAAATTCATTAGTTGAAACTTTCATCTTAAGGACAACAGTGTTTTATGTTCTCAAATTTTAGTATATTGGTTTTCTATATTTTGCAGGTGCCCTAACAGGGAAGTATACCCCAGAAAACCCTCCTTCTGGCCCTCGAGGACGGATTTATACTTCTGAGTTCTTGGTCAAAGTAAGATATTTTACATATGAAAACTAGTTCAAAATTCTGCTCAAATATTCAAGAATTTCTATGCTGCTGCAGCTGCAACCTCTGATAAACAGAATACAGGAGATAGGAGAGGCATATGATAAAACACCAACTCAGGTTTTATTTTTAGAAAATTTGTCACAATTTACTACTTATATTTGTTTTCTTTCCTCTCTCTTAGTCCGCTGAAAATATTATCACAATCTTTTGAGTTAATTGTCTGATCACTTTTGAATTAACCTTCTTGTGAATAAATAACTCTCAAGAAAAAAATAACAATTAAAAGGTGGGGTTTTTCTATATTCTTGTGAATTAACGTTGTTGATTTAATTCCTCTTCTCCTACAAATATTTTTATGTGGATACGTGAGCCTCTCCATCTAAGTTTGAGTTCGTAAAATTGATCTTCCCACTCTTACAATTTCCCGGTCAATCTTGTGGTTCTACAAGTACCGAATTCTACTTGTAAAATCGTCATATTGCATTCTAGAATCAGTTTAATAGTAATTATTATTTTGGTAACATTTTTCTGCTTCATTTTTCAATTAATTGAACTTAAGTTTTGTGCCTATAGGCAAAACAAGAAACAAGTCTTTGGTAGGCTAATTTCTTTGCCTAATGGTTGTGGTATGAGAATAACACCCCTTTATTTTCTGGGAAAGGTTGTCCTGAACTGGTTGATCGCCCAAGAGAATGTTGTTCCCATCCCAGGGGCTAAAAATGCAGAGCAAGCGAAGGAGTTCGCGGGTGCACTTGGTTGGAGGCTTGGCAACGAGGAGATCGATGAGCTCCGATCATTGGCGTCGAAAATACGACCCGTTGTAAGTTTCCCAGTAGAGAAGTTATGAGCGTTGCCAGCATTATTTGTATATATTTTGCTTGAAGAATGGTTATGCTTAAAATTTGCATATTATTTGTCTTGCACTGCATACATTTTTTCTTGGCTAATATTGTATGAATATATGATACAACTAAATTGCTTTTGATTACTCGAATAGATATGTCGATGATGATAATTACTAGTAAATAGATGTAACATTAACCTTTTAATTTATTAAATGGATGTAACAATATATTTGAATGTTACATGTAAGTAAATATATTAACAGTCATTATACCAGGGTTTTCCAAATGCAATGATCTACCAAGTTTTTCTTCGCATGGTTTTGTTCTCTAAGGAATGCAATCTATGAGTTGCCTTTTGCTCCCATCCCAAAAAAGAGATTATTGGATAAATTATTTTTGTGAAGCTAAGCTGCTACATGGTTGATGTAATATTATAATAAACATTTCTACTCAGCCTTTTCTTCCTGCACATTTTTCTTCATTTAGTTTCATAACCACTACTTAAACACAATAAATTGGTGATTATACCCATTTTGGCATTGGTAATAGCCGACAAAGTTCAACTAGAAACGAATTGAAGATTACCTTGTTTGGATAGCCATTTTTCGCCCGAAAATTGCGTCGTTTTCCGTGATCACATTTACCTATTACCTTTTTTTCTCACATACATCAAATCACTACAGTAATTTTTCTACAAAAAATCCTAGAAAATGCAATCCAAACACATTACTTGAAGAGAATTGAAAGTGGTCTAGTGGCTAAGGTTGATGCCCCTGGAAAGTAGGTTTATTAATCGAACCATTTGAGTCGGACTTTAACGAGACCATCCTTGACTCATATGGTAAGTGTCACTTTCAGATATCAAGTTATAAGTTTTGAGTTGATAAATGCGAAATTCATAATGATCAACAGTCAATACATCTTGCTTGTACTAAAATTTGTCCTTCTGAATCTTTTGACATAATTTTGTATATTTAATATTTTTTGTATATATCAATATATTATATATTTAGATTCAATGAAAGGTTAGTCTCATCGAACTTTATCTCAAACCAGATGAGTCGAGTTTAGATCAATGTTTTCAGAACCGGACCGGACCGGCCGGTTCGACCGATTGGACCGCGAACCGGCCATGTCACCGGTCCGGTCTAATGCTAAAGCCGGAAGCTCATGAAGAACCGTTGAAACCCGGACAAACCGTGTGAACCGTTAAGAACCGTGAACCGGCGATTTTTTAAATTCTTCAACAAAATATCAAGAATGGTGTAGCTATGATTCGAACCTGGGCCTCCAAATTTGGATATGACAATCTTACCGCTGGACTGTAGTTAAGTTTGTTGAGAATTCTACTTGACTAAAAAATATATTAAAACATCAAGTTCTTCTCTTTTTTTTTTCAATTTTTTCTTCTTAACCATTTTTAACCCAAATATCCACAACAAGATTTTCTCAAGTCTTCACCATTATTATCAGGTTATTATCTTTAGCAGATTGTAAACAAGTTGAAAATTTCAACTTTTGTTGTTTTCCAACATCTTGGTAAGTTTAATTTTTTTTCTTTTCAAGGTTTTTTTTCTATGTTATTATCTTTAGTTGATTTTTTTGCATTTTCTTCTTTTTCCCCCCAATTTTCATATGTTTCCCTCATTTTTGTTTTATTTTTATTTGATTAATTAAGGATGAAATTTTTGCAAAAGTAGTGCACATCCGTGTAGGAATTGGGTAGGAATTACAAATAATAACATTGGACTGATAAAAAATATGGTAGTTGGCACATAATCAAAGCTATTGATAATTGAATTTAAAATAATTAATGGTATAGGATCATTGAATTTAATATAACATGTTAATTAGTAATGTTTAGTAGCAATTAATTTTTTATGTGTTTAATTGTATATTTTTTTCAAAATTTTTTAGTTTTTTTGAGTTTGAGCAATTAGATTTATATTTTTATAATGAAAATTTAACTTTTTCAGCTTAAGTTGATGAAATTGTGAAGGTGGTGTGGTTGCTTATCATGCCATTGATAAAAGTTTGCTATTCAAATGGTTTGTGTTAACTTGAACTGTTTCATTGATTTTTTTAAGGGTTGTAAAAGAATTTCAATATTTAATTTATTTATTTTTTGTGTTTTTATTTGTGATAATTGGTGAACATTTGGATTGTATCTATTTATGTTTATAATGAATTTATGAAAACTTGTGGTGAATTATGATATTTTAATTATATTTATCAATCCATGTTTTATGTATAACTTTTAGTAAATTTATTATTATCATAATTTAAATTAAGTTATGTTGGTAAAGTTCAAGTGTAGAATGAAACCTGCTTAGTTAAAAAAAAAAACAGTGAACCTGTGAACCGGCCGGTTGGACCGGTTGGACCGCGAACCGGCCACCTCTCCGGTTCACTGACCGGTCCGAGTTTAAAAACATTGGTTTAGATTGGCCCGATCCCATTGGCAAGCCTACCGATAAGGTCTTGGGCTCATAACCCTTTTATTTCTTCTCAGCTTCTTAAATCTCACCCCTTTTCTACTAGAAAAAATAAAAATAAAACAAAAGAATTGAAAGAGTTCTCCAAATATAGGCAAACAACGGCTAGTTTCCAACCATGTAAAAACAAAAGTTAAAAAATTTTCAACGGACACGATGAGGGTACCCGCTCTACGTAATTTATCGCTACCATAATATATTCAACAGCCTTCTAATTCGAGTCATTTTTTCAATTTAATTTTACTTGTCCAAAGATTCACTTTTTGGACTTCTGTTTATGGTAGTTTTTTGAAAATGGAACCGGGCCGGACGGTTTGGTTGGTTGAACCACAAACTGGCTACTCCTCTAGTTTGGTTCAATAGTTAATCTAAAAATTCAATTAAATCGATTAAACTCGATCAAAAATTGAATGAACTCGTAAAAATCGAGAGGATCAGCGGAATTTCGCTACAAATGAGGTTGAGGTCAAATCGATTAAACCGCAAATGGAAAGCTCTTCTGATCGCTCCCAGTTCGGGTTTAAAACCATTTATGGGCATCCTAGGTGCACCCACGAGACAAACTCGCAACAATTTACTTGCATGGATATCGCTACGACCATAATAGCATATGTGTGCAATAGATATAAAATTGTTGTGACTTCATCAAATCCTCTTAATGCTTCACCACTTGAAGGCTAATCAAACGAAATTTTGCACAACAGTCCAAAACCAAGAGTTTTTGAAGAGTGTGGGATACTTTCTCATATTTTCCATTGGCAATTTCTTCTCGAAGCATGTCATGGTTAATTCATTGCTCAGTCCTTTCCCTTCGATTTTCACATAATCAACGATATCACGTTCTCCTCGCAGGACTTCAAAAGTTGCCAGCTTTCGAAGTTACTGTGGGGATTAGGTTTATTTGCAAAAACATTCTTACTTTCTATAAGGAAAAAAAAAAAACGATATCACGTTCACAAATACAAATTTTCACTTTCAAATAAAAGCAAATTTTTCTAGTTTTGCACGCCACCTTCCCACCCCAAATGGTCCATAGAACAAATTATCCATGTGCAAGAACACCATTTTAGTAACCACTGGCCCAATGGCTCAGTGGCCAGGGACCTTGGGCTGTTGGTGAGAGTTCAAACCTCACCAGTAGCGAAAAAAATCTAAGGGTTGTGTCATAGCACTCCCTTGGTCTAGTTGGGTCTGTATACCCACTAGCCCCTATCACAGCCTCTTTAGGCTCCCCCTCCCCCTAGATTAGGATAGAGTAGGTTATACAAATATATCGTTGCTGACAAAAAAAAGAACACCATTTTAGTGAACTTTTGAATGGAAATGTTATCTTTGACATCTGACCAGTGAATCTATGGGTTGAATTATTAATATCCTTAAGTTCAGGAAGCAAACTGTAAATAACCATCTTTTTATGTGTGTGTGTCTCTATTCTAATGTCACCAGTATTTGTTCCTATTATTTGTGTGCATTGGGTCAGTGTACTTAAAAAAAAAAAAAAGAGAAAAAGAAAAAAATTTGGGTGCAGGGTCCAGTAGACACGTGTCAACACAAATTTGCAAGATTAGATACCCAGAACCTTTTTATCTGCTGGGGCTGCAGGAGAGGAGAAGTTGTAGATCTCAGCCTGCTAATTGTTGCTATCACCTCAGGGTCCCATTAGACACAGCCAAATCCAATACCCGAATGCCACTTGTAAAGCAGTGCTGATGTCTCCCTCGTCGTCATAAAGGCAGCACCAACCAGCAATCCTATACTAGCCCCGTTGAATTTTGTCGGGTCTACCCTCAATCATCGACTTCTTCTCGAAGGAAAGAATTCGGATTTTCTATCCCACTTCCTGTCTTACTGATTTCAATTTTTATTCTCCTGTTTTCTTGTTCTAATTGTGGACATGCATATTCAAAGTATTTTACGCGTTAACTTTCGCAAGTAAAATTATGCGAGTAGACGATGATAAAGTAAATTGAAATACGTTTCCACGTACGACGTTACAAGAATTGAGACAGAGGATTCGAAAAAGAGGAGAAATATTTGTTATGAGATAAGTACTATTACACGGCATTGAGAGAGTGAGTGGGACTACATTAAGGACTGGGACAGGTTCTTCCCCCTTTCCTCCTGCTGGCTCTGATAGAGATATTCTGGAGGAATAATTTGTTTTCTGATTGAAATATGATGTCCCTTCTTCCTTTCCTGAACAAGTGAAGCATCACAAACAACAATTAGTTTGTAGCTGTACAACATTTCCCCAGGTGGGCTTTTTTTTTGCTTCTTTCTTATTCTTCTATTTATTTCTAGTGTACTTGAGTAAAGGGTATCTGGGTACTTGATTTGCCAAATTTTCTATGTGTGTTTGTTCCTTTTTTAATCATTTGTTGATTCAACAAACTTGTAATCAATCATTATCTTAATCTCTCTCTCTCTCCTCTCCCTCTGTGTGTGTGACTTTCACAGGCACCAGCATATAATATATGCCTTCACAATATGGTACCACTAGTTAGCTGTGTTGCATGTTTGGAATGATGTTAATCTTGCTTCTTTTGGCAAGTCTGCACTACTAACTCATCTATCATTTCTAATTTCCTTAAATGGAATGATTAAGTAGTATAGTAGTAGTGGTACTAGTTAATTATTGTTTTCTTGATTGTGGTCTGACCCTCAGCTGCTGTTTTATATTCATTTCTTGACTTCAATTTGTCCTGCTCTTTCTTGTTTATTAGCTGTAATTTGAAGCCATGAATCCTTGCTTTCCGGATTGGAATTTTGGGGCTGAATTCCCAGAGCCCATTCTGAAGAATAAGCCCCTGGGGTAATTACTAATCAATTCTTCAAAACTCTGCATGCTTGGAGCTGATTAATTCAAGAAAGTTGTTTCTCTGACATGAATTTGTGAAGTTGCTAACAGTGCTTTAGTATACTACAGAATGGACAATGAGCTGGTGGAGCTGTTGTGGGAAAATGGACAAATTGTGCTGCACCCTCAATCTCATCATCACCACCATCCCAAACCAGGGACAGCTGATCAACAAGAAAATCAATCTAGGCAGATTAACAAACACAACCATGATCAATCAATGAGCAGAGGCAGTACAGGGGGTGGCTCTTGTCAAAATCAGGTTACTAGTTTGATTCAAGATACTGAGACAGTCTCTTGGATTGATGATCCCTTTGACAAGGAATTCACCTCTGACTTCTTATCTGAATTTCCAATCTCCAATCCAGTTGAGCAAGGTCCACATGAGGATGATAAGTTTAAAAAATTTGGCATATCACAAGACCTCCACAACCATCCTGTCCAGTTACCCAATGATAAACCTTCTGATGTCATCAACTCATTGCCTCCAAGATTTCACAACTTTGATTCTGCTCAGCCCAATCATTCCCATTTACCAAGAGCTGCTAATGCTCCTTTGTCTGCCATGGCAGATTTGAGATCCTCAAGTGATGGAGTTAGCAATAGGACTTTGGGAGGTGAAGTTAGAGAGTATTCTTCCGCCAAGACGGTTGGCACCAGCCACTGCGGCAGCAATCTAGTAGTAAATGATACTGATACAAGCCGAGTTTCGAGTGGTGGGATTGCTGATCATAGAGGTTTTTCAGGAGCTATGGCCAAGGATCATCGTGTTGGGAAAATGAGCTCTCAAAGTGACAGACTTCAAACAGATCAGACAGAGGAAACAGCAATTACATCATCTTCTTCTGATGGATCTGAGACTAGTTTTGGGAGAACATGTAACCAATCAACTGGTACCAATTCTCATAAGCGGAAAAGCAGAGATGCAGAAGATTCAGAGTGCCAAAGTAAGGTAAGCAAGCTATGTCAGTTTTTTAACTGTATTTCTTCAGCCTAAAGGCCTTCTTTATATGGTTAAAGATCAATACCAAGTCGTCTTGCATTCATGCTCCAGGCTGCTGAATTGGAGTCAGCTGCCAGAAAGAAACCGGCAGTAAAATCTGGGAGTTCACGCAAAAGCCGTGCTGCTGAAGTCCATAATCTCTCTGAGAGGGTAGGTTACACCAATCCATGGCTTTGCTGCATATGCAATGACCTGAATGTATTCTAGAAAACACTTAAAGAATGTTAATATCTTTTCTTCAGAGACGGAGAGACAGGATCAATGAGAAGATGAGGGCTTTGCAGGAGCTGCTTCCTAAGTCTAACAAGGTCTGAAGATTCTTCTTTCTACTTTATACGATTTCTGCTGATTCGTGCAATTTCTGGCAGCTTGATTAACTACGTCTTATCGACCTTAAACTTACCTCTAATAGTTTCATCGGCAAAGATTCATGGGGCATTAATTAGGCTGAAGAAACAAGATATGCTTTGGCTTTTCTAAAATTGCATTAAGAAGTTATTTCTAAAAAAGAAGTTTAACTTTTGCGATCTGTATTTTAAAGTATGCTAAATACCAAAGGATGCACCTGAAACTAGCTTTTAATCTTGAAAAAAAGCTACGACTAACAATTGAGCTGTGAACTTGAGAAGTGCATTATGAAGTACAACTGCACAGGGCACAAAATCTGAATCAAGTTTGAACTAGGTGGTGCAGTAATGACATCCTAGAATAAAATTAGTCCTAATAGCTACTTTCTTTTCATTGAACAATGGATGTAAGGCGTGCCAAACAAGATGAGAAAATTTTCTCTCACAGTCGAGCACTTCATCCCTTAATTATAGTTTCTACAGATTTCTTATGCTTCCAATTTGCCTCTTCTTTTCCAGACAGATAAAGCATCGATGCTAGATGAAGCTATAGAATACATGAAATCCCTTCAGCTACAACTTCAGGTATGCAAAATTGCAGCATATATATAGCAGAAGCACATTTAATAGTCAATCACTGCACTCTCAAGCTACTACTCTGTGGTCATGGTTTGATCAGATGATGTGGATGGGAAGTGGAATGGCACCAATGATGTTTCCTGGTGTCCAGCACTACATGCCCCGCTTAGGGATGGGAATAGGCCCACTGGCAATGCCTTCCATTCACAGCCAGATGCATCTCCCAAGGCTGCCGCTGCTTGATCAAGCGACAATACCAAATCAAGCTGCACTATGCCACCAAACCACAATGTTCAATCCCATGAATTATCATACTCAGTTGCAGAATTCCAAATTATCTGAGCAATATGCCAATTACATGGCATTCCACCCTCTGCAGAATGCATCACAGGTTTTATTACATTTTTCTTTAACTCTTGCTTGTCAACTGAAGCATTTGGATTGCGCAATGCTACAATGCTCAGTATCACGTATCAACAGGATATCTGTGACGGCTCATATGCTGTTGTTTTGTGGCATTGCAGCAGTTGAACGTTTTCGGCTTCGGTCCCAACACAGCACAACAACATAATCACTCGTTAGCCCCATCCGGCAACTCAAATGGACCCTCTGTAGGATGATGAGCTGCAGCTGATAATGCTAACTCCGGAGCAGGGAAAACATTAATTATGCTGATGGATTGGTGGCCATTTACATATGAATATGTACAGATTAGGTCTACTTAGATTCGAACACTGAAGCTGGGAGATATTTGCTCATCGCATGATTTATTGAAGAATGAGAAAATGCCTCTCTACGTTTCTTTCTTGTCCATTTTCCCCCTCCAAATACATCAATCTATTCAAGGTACAAGAGGAAAGTTACTTCATGGTTTACAATATTCAAAGTAGTTGTAACAAGTACGTACAAAACTCAATTTAACATCGCCATTGGAGCAGTGTTAGCATTTTCCACTCTTGTACATTGTCCTTCCTTCAGTATCTCTCGAATGCTTAACAACCAAGTTCACAGGTTTTCTTCTTCTTCTTCCTTCTTCTGCCGATACTAGTTTAGGTTTGTTCAACCTTTCTAAACATGGAGAGAGAATCCAGGAGATATAACTAGAAATTGATTGGAAAAATGGGAAACTATTGAACAAGGCTTGGCTAAGGTTGTCAATCCGTAACAACCTAAAGGGCGAATTGCAATTTTGGTCCCCATATTTAGGCTCTGGACGAAGAGGGTCCCTTTTGTTTTACGCCAAGCAGGCTTTAGTCCCTTGTCTTTGAAAATTGAACAAATTGAATTCACCAATGATTGATTTGGACAAAACAAAGATCATGTTCCCAATCTTTGCAAATGCAAGACTATTTAATACTCCCTCCATTTTTTTATAACTGACGTTTAAGGTTTTGCACATCAATTAAGAAAGGTTTTTCATTGCTTAAATCTGTACACTACTTTCCTTTTGTACCCTCATTAATTGTCCAATTACTAGGGTTGTTACAAAGAGAGAAGCAATAATTATTAGGAGTAGTAATTAAGAACCCTATATTGGAAAAGAGAGATAAAAGGGTACAATTGTGAAAAAAAATAATTAATACTGTATGGGGATAATAAAACGACAGATAAAAGTACACTGGAGCAAATTTCTTAAACGTCAGTTATAAAAAAAAGGAGGGAGTAGTAATCAGATATTTATTTAAGCGATCAATTAATATAAGCAACCCCAGAATGATTCTTTTTTTCTGTTTTTTTTTATCATTATCTCATTCTAAATAAAATTAGAGAAAGGAATTTTCCTGAAAAATGAGCTTCAATATCATCTTCTTCTTTTTTTTTTGTAAATACAATTAACTAGACACAATGCCTTAATTATCAAACGGTTCAGCTAATTTTTGCAGGTCGTAGAAAAATATCCTTGCTGCCGAGAAATTCTGATAATTTTCTTAATATTATTTGTATGCATGTTGAAAATTGAAATAGATAGATCTTCCTACTATTCAAGTTGCAAAAGCGTAAATAGATATTCCTACCGTTCAAGTTGCGAGAGACAGATCCACTTTCATTTCATGTTTGCCACTCACTATACCCATTTTCTTTCCATGATTGCATATCTTTCCCATTTCCCACTTGCATGTGAGATTTTATTTTTGCATCTCCATTAATGACCACACAGGTTTTCTTTAGTAGTATTGACATCTCAACTTCAATGATCAAAGCATATTAGGAGAATAAGGTTAAGTAGATTTGCTAGTTGAGACTTTAGGGATTAGAGATCTGCATTTAAATTTCTTTTCTGTCTCTCCACTTCTTAAATTCCACGTTTCTTTTACTAGAAAAAAATATAAAAAAGAAAATATAGATTTGCTTAAAGTAGAATTGTATAAGAAAAAAAGGGCACTTAAAAGTAACCTTATATATATATATATTTATTTGAGCAAAAAGAATTCGATCATTGAAATAAATTAGGAATGAGGAAGTGGAAAGTGCAAATTCCTCATATTTCTTCTTTGAAGTACATTTTCCTTTTCGATCTGACTTTCTTTTTAATTTTTGGACCGACATATTGGTCTTGTATTCAAATTATTAAATTGATGTATATGAAGAAAGTGGCTTTTATCACCAACAGTGAGATTCCAGACAAGAATGTGCATTGTCTACTCTAAATAACAATGGGTTCCACAAATGGATATGGAACTCAAATGGATAACACATTCAATATGAGGCATCATTAGCCACTCATATATGGTGGGCACTGCCAAAACTCTTGACTGTGTACATCCTTTCCTTCCATCTCATTGTTGATGTTGAAAGGTAGAAAGACAATTTTCTTGTTCAGCTCTTTGTGTTTTTTTTTTTTTTTTTTTTGAATAAATAGGTGAAAGATATGGATGTTTCAAGACGGCCATCCCCAATTATGAAAACATGTATTTAATGTGCTTTGATCTGATGACAGTTTCCCTATATGTGATAAGATAGCAAAAGTGGAATAATTCTCAAGTGAATCATTCTAGCAGAAGTTTGTTAAAGTAATTCTTGTATATACTAACAGTAATTATATTAGTATGGTTGAATTTATGACACATATATATGTATATATATACGTGTAATTGGAATTTTAAATTTGAATTTACATTAGTGTCATGTATCCAAATCTATCAATATATGCATTGTCAGTGTATAGAAAAAATAATACAATTTACTAATGTAACGTATATATTTCATTGAGAGATAGAATCTTTAGGTAGATGAGTAAAATGTATAACTATGAAAGATAGGTATAGTATGGACAAACTAAACATACAATTTTTTAGTACTAATGATTGGCTACTAAAACTTGAGATACATTTTTTATTAGTGATGGTGAATTTGGATGCAAGAGTGGAATTCAAATGAATGAGCTTGAAATCAATAGATTTGAGATACAGACTGATTCAAGTACATTGTTTGGCTTAAAAAAATACCCAAAATAGATAAAAAAAAATTACAATTAACAAAATAATTGGGTAAAAAATGAAACATTGAAAATGTCAGGGCCGGATTAATATCAAATTTTGCAAATTTATTTTCTTCGCCCTATATTCATTTTTTGCAGCTTCTGTTCTCTTTTCCTCCAACAACAGCACTGGCCACGGTCACTAGCAAATGTAAAGGATTTTTTTTTTTTTTTTTGGGGAGAATCCAATTGACATCCCTTTAAAACATTAACAACTTATATAATTGAAAGGAAATTAAATTTTGCCCCATCAGAAAATTTCAAAAATCCTTTTACATCCCCTTAAAACATTCAACACACACTTCTATTCTTGTAAATACTAGACTTTGAGCCCCCAAGTTTTTTTAAAAAAATATATATATATTTAAGGATACCTCTTAAGTATATCTCTTCATTTGTCTTTCCCAAATTTCAACTTTTGGTTCCACCCGTAAATATGGTAATAAAATTTACTCCCTCACATACAGAAATTTGTATACGCATGAGATTTTACACAATACACAATGAGACAAATACCCAAATCTATTTCTTGATTTGGTTTGTCTACTACTTTATTGGCGGATGTGACTCGACAACGAGGACAAAACCCTATCTAATATTCTATGTTCCTTGCACTCAAGATCAATGGTGGAGGGAAGAGATGTAGAGAGGGGTTTGAGTGTAAGAATTTGAAATGAGCCAATTTGGATGGACATGAAACACACAATTATGTAGACCATTAGAATTTCTCCAACTATGGGACGCATTTCAAATCTAAATTCGTCCTAAATAATCCCAATGATATGAAGAATTTTGATGAAGGATTTAAAATCCAAATTCTTCGATCCGAACGCAGCCTAAAATTAATTTAGGCATTAAAAGTTTGGAATTAAATTGAGGGCACAGTTTTCACCAACTCTACTTGTCCCACGATTAATTTTGATGACAATGAAAGAGCAAGAAGGTCATCCTCCAAATCATCATCTTAGGAGCGCTTGGTTCAAGCCTAGAAATTGGAATTGTAATTGGAATCACGTCCAAAAATTCAGGATGGAGTTTGATCAAGAGTATAATTACAATGACTAATGTTTGGTATATATTTATCAGGTTTTGAAATCAACTTATTTTTATTTTCTTATCTTAATTTTTTTTCTCCTTTCCCTCTTTTCCTACTTCCTTCTTCTCAGCCCTTAAGTATTCATGCTTCACCAATTTCTCTTGAACCACCACCTGATCAATTCCAACGAAAGAGCAAGAAGGTCATCCTCCAAATCATCATCTTAGTATTGCTTTTGCTGATGAATGGAATCGCAAAGCTCATCATGGCTGATTTTACCAATAAGCTAAAAGATGAATACAATTCATCAATACTCCTTATTGAAACTTTATCATTCATTTACAGACCCCCAACTCTGTTGACAAATGCAGACAGCAGCCGTCTAACTTGTATAATTGCTCTTACACCCCCTCTATTTTCATATACTATGTGAAACTTGAAAAAAAATTATTTAAGCCAAAAATAGCCACTAAATATCCTTAAAGTTGCATTCATCATAGAAGAAGAACGAACAGTTTTTGTCACGGTGAATCATATATCCCCATTTTTCCACTCAATTATTATCAAGAATTACTATTTCCCTCCTTTTTTTAAAAAAATTTTCCCCTAGTTATCTCGACAATTCTTCATTTATAACCAAAATTGATTATCTTAATTTTCATGATAGGCAGGCAAAGTATAAAAACATGGAGAGGTGATCACTAATAATTCAAGTAAAACCAAGTTGTTACTCTCATTTTGCTGATGTTAAAGCATCATGGTCTTCAACCAATTAAGTGCTTCATAAAATACGCAGACATGTTCCACAACATCTATATACTATAGAAGATCAGTGTATTGATAGATGGATAATCCGACTTACCTGCTTTGCATATGTCTTGATCTTCTTCCATGAATAGATTATCGGAATCAGATTCTATCTGTGTCATCTTCTTTCTCTCGTGCAAGTTGCAAATCGAAAGAACAAAATAAATATACAGGCCAAGGGAAACTAAAGAAGGATATGTAATAGCTTGTCGTGAAATAAATTGCATGCCGGAGATATGGTGAGACTCCAAATGCAAGCCAAACCACAGGATGTACGAGGTGGTTCAGTTAAGTGCAGTTCGGATCCTCTATGCCACTGTCCGATGTCAAATTCAGTATTAATTCCACTTATCACGTGAGAGTGGAAAAATTTAAATAAATATCACATGACAAGTTAAATAAACAGGACACTTGACATAAATATAAAAGTGGCACTGAATTACCACTAGAAAAATGGCACTGAGGATCCCGTGTGAGTTAAGTGCGCTTCCTATACCTTTTCTTGAACTGCATTTTACAAGTTCCACAAACTCCATATCAGGAACTAACATGTGAAAAGAATGTGAAATTCTTAGAATGGCAATCCTTTAATTTTATAGAATAACACAAAAGTTCATCCTGGAAACATCAGTTAATGTTGATTTGCTTACAGAAAATTTTTCTCAGTGACAAGTTGTGGTAG